GGCCCCACGCGGCCTCCGTCGCCCGCCGCCCCTTGTCCCCTCCCGCGCGCCGTCCTCGGCTGCCCGCAGCGGGGCGGGAGGCGCCCGACCCGCGCTTCCCATTGGCTGTTGCCGCGCCGAGTGGGCGGGGCCGCCACTGGACCGGCCCGAACCGGCTCGCACCGCGGGGGAGGCGAGGCAGAAGCAAGGCGCTCGGCCAATGCTCCCCGCTGATTGGCCGCGCCGGGCGGCGTGGGCGGGCCCAYGCGCCGAGAAGGCAGCGCGATTGGTGGCTGCGGGGGCTGCGGGGCGTGGCCTCCCCGGGGCTCCGCCCCGCCTCCGTGACCCGACGTGGGGCTTATAGGGGCGGCGCGCGGCGCGGCGCGGCTGGCGGCAGCGATGGCGGCGGCGGCACCGCGCGGGCTCCTGGCCCTCCTCGTCCTCAGCGGCCTCCTCGCCGGCGCCGCGGCCACAAGTAGGGGCCCGCGGGCGGGGGTCGGGATCGGGGCGAGGGGCTGGAGCGGGGCGGGCGCAGGGCGCGGCGGGGCCCGGCGGGGCCTGGCCGGGGAACGGGGGTGTCTGCGGTAGCCCCGGGCCGCGCGGGGCCCGGTACCGGTACGAGCGGCACGTGCTGCCGGGAGCGGGGGGGCTCGGCCGGAAAAAATCCCCGGAAAAAAATCCGTGGAGAGAGACGCGTTTCCACAAGGGAGGCTCCGTCCCGGGGCGCCGTGCCCGGCCGCTGCCGCAGCCTCCCCGCGCCCGGTGTCTGCAGCCCCTCCGGGCTAAGGGCTCCGGCGCTTCGGATGTGGAGCGCCAGGACGGGCCCCTCGGCGCTGATCCGCTGAGACCCGTGTGAATAACGGGAAACGCGTGAATAAAAACCATCCCCGGTGTTCCCGGAGCTGCTTCCTGCTCTCCCGGCCTCCTCCGGGCGGGCGTGGAGGCCGCCGGCTCYGTGCGGTGCCCGGGGAGGGGTCCCTGCCGCAGCACCGTCATTAACGGGGCTGCGGTGCTCACCGCAGGTGTCCAGCAGCCCTCCGGGTCCGCTCCCGTAAACACAGCGGGGCGGCCYGGCTTTTCCCGCGCCCCTCGTCCCTGCCTGGAGAGCGGCTCCCGGGAACGCTCCGTGCRAGGGCAGAGACCCTCGTCCGCACGGGGGTCCGTGCCCGCGCTCGGCTCACGAGGACAGAGCCTTCCAGAGGCTTCCTAGGGCCTCCGCTCTGTTATCCAGCGATTGCCGCTACATGAGGCTCGAGGCGGCAGATTGGAAGTGTCCGTAAGTGTCAGCGCTTCGTCTGTCCCCTTGCCGCGCTGAGCGCCGGCCCCGCGGCAGCGCCGGCCGCGCGGAGCYGTCCGGCTGCCTCCGGAGGCTGTTTTTAGTCTGAAGGTGACTCGAGGGTTATCTGCCCCTGGCCGCCTGCGCCGCTGTGGGATCGCAGGCTGGCCTGTCCCCAGCGGAGCCGCGCGGCTCGGCCCTGCTGGTGACGGTCTCGTTGCTTCTGTGACCTGGCTGYGGTTTACGGCCCCGCGCCGTCCCAGACGTGGCTCAGTGGGCTGGAGTGGGGTGTCCCAGGGCCCTGCAGCTGCTTTCCTGAGCCCCAGGTGTCCAGGAGTGGCCGCTCGGTCTGGTTTGTCCTGGAAAAGCAGAGAGGGGATTGAATCCCCTGAGAAACAGGAGCGATGCTTGCTGGTTTCTGCCCTCTGGATTCGAGTGCCTAGARAGTAACGTGGGTTTGCAGAGCCCGAGCTGCGCCCGAGCTGCGCGGCGGCTGAGAGCGAGGCTCTTTGCAAGAGCTCCTGTGGTCCCCGTGCCTTAATCGACTCGTGTCTGTAAGGGAAACCTTGGTTAGTAGCTCCTGACTTAAAGGAGGCTGCAGTTAAAACGGGACAGGCTTTGACAAGCCCTGCGGTCCGTTCCGCAGTGTCCCGAAGGATGCGGTTGGGAGTGCTTGAGCCCAGGCTTGTGTGTGAAAAGCCAAGTTGGAACACGAAAGCGGCAGGAGACTCGTCCCCCAAAACACAAAGATCTTSTCCCCCGCACTGTGCGAGTTCAACCTTGCGGAGCCGTTCAACGTGTTTAACTCAACGAGATTCGTGAGACCGTTGCGGTTAATGCTCCCATGTTTCCTCTGGAAAGCMGAGTGATTTGGGGGCATTCGGAAAAGGAAAGCTGGTTTCATCTCAAAACCCCACCTCGTCCGCCACAGCGTGTGGAGGGGATCTGGATAATTACAGATTTCTTAGGAACTTGGTAAGAAGTTAATGCCCTGCAGTGGTGCTTGGTACAGTTGGTACTTGTTGGCTCCGCTGTCAGCGTGAGTAATGCAGTCTGAAATGAGTGTGCAGGAAGTAGGTGTTGCAAAAGTACCAAATTCTTCTTAAATCTCCCTGAAACAGTCACGTAGGTAACCTTGACTCCAATATGCTGCCTTTTCCTGGCCTGCTGTTACCAGAGATCCCCCCKGCAGCTCCCCCCTCGAAGGAAGCAGCCCCTGGGGCCTCTCCTTGGCCCGCRTGTCTTGCAAGATTGTCCCCGTCGCTGCCTGTGGGAGCTGCTGCTCGGCGCTGATAACGCTGCCCTGGCCGGTGGCCGAGAGGCGTTCGGCAGCGCCGCTTCCCCCGGCCTCTGCCTTGGGGATTTACCTTTGAACCGCCCCGTTTCAAAAGCTGAACCCTCTGGACTCTGAGCACAGGAGCAATTTGGAAAATGCTGTTGTTTCAGCCTGCAGCTGCTTGTGGTTTTTAAATCTGTTTGCTGTTAATTTAGCTTTGCAAAGCTCAACTTGCCCGGCATGAGCAAAATATAATTTTGCTGCTTGTATTGCAGTGAATATCATGACTTTCTTAACCTGGCTTGTGATTGCCTGTAGCCTGCCAAATGCTCCCGGGAATTGCAGTTGCCTTGAGTGTTTAAAGGGTCTGACTTGGCTCCTGGTGAGCAGGATGACTCAGCAGGCATGTGAGCGAGCGCGGGGAGCGCGTCCCGCGCGTCCCGTGGGGCTCGCGGTGCCCAGCATCATCTCACGGCCCCGGGGCGACGCGGTGGGCGCCAGGAGCTGCCGGCTCTGAATTAAGAGCAAGTGACTTTGGGCACGGAGAGCTCCGGAGGGCTCTGCGGCGAGCTGCGGGGAAGGCTCTGCAGTGAGAACCTGGGGGTGAAACGCCGCGATGCCGCGTGCGGAGCGGGAGGCTCCTGCAGGTCCACGGGGCCCGTCCCGCCCCGGCTGTTCCGCAGAACATCCAACTAGCTCTTCCTTCCGAGCTCAGAAGGGTGTTGGAACAATGGCATGGATTCCTAATGTGTTGTGTTTAAGCCTATAGAGACACCAGAACAGGGAAGATCTGTCGCTGTGYGTTACAGAGGCCAAGGCAGGGCTGGCGCTGCCCTTCGCAGCCGCTCCGGCCGTGTCCTTCCACGGCGAGGCCCGGGCTGCCCTGCGGAGCGCAGGGGGTGTTTTGGCAGCCACACGGCACTCCTGCCTGAATGCAGCCGGTGCTCAGGTCTTGGGAGAACACTGGGGACTGGAGCAATAGGAATCTGGGGGTACCCGTGTGCCAGGATGGGACGCTGTGGATGGCATTGCTGCAGGCTGCACCYGCCTGTGGCACCCGGTGCCAGGTTGGAGACACTCCTGTTTCTGGTACTGCCCTTGCAGGAGGGGGTGCAATTCCTTAACTCCTGGTTAACTAGCTGATAATTACCTGATAACTAGTGATAACTAGTGGTGGAGTTAAATCAGTATTGCCAATGGGCTCCCTGCATTCCTGGCAGGGACCACTGAGCAGAGCTGGAGGCAATGAGGTAGCGGCAATGAGGACTGGTAACTTTGAGCTTGAGACCTAATTCTGTGCCGCAGGAGTTATCAAACTTCCACTGCAAAGCTGCAGTTTGGGCGCACTGGAAGCAGCTCAGGTGTCTGGAACGTGCTCCGTGTTCTTCTGCTTCCCGCCCCGTGCTTCTCGGCACGCACGGTGTTGTTGTGTTGTTAGCTGACCCGCTTCCTTGTCCTCTCGCCCAGAGGCCTGCCGCGCTCTTCATTTGTCCCGTGGCAATTGTATAACGTGGGCTTTTGTTGGGGGAATGGCGAGCGTTACGTAAGCGGCTGTTCTGCGCGTTGTGCCTTTGCAGCGGAGCGGCAGAAAGCGCCGCTGGCCGCGGAGCAGCGGCCGGGAGCCGCCGTCCCGTAAACGGGTAGCTGGAGAGGGCGCCTGGAGCAGCGAGGGGAGGGACAGGGCGGAATTCGCTGCCCTCGCAAACCGTGTCCCACCGTCTCAATGGCTGATTGTGTTTTTTCCTTGTAGAGGTTAAATTCTTGCTTTGCACTAACACTTTGCACTAATACCTCTTCAACTCATAGCTGGTTTTATAAAGTCACCACTGTCTCAAAAGAGACTGACTCAGGACAGCGTCGAGTTGTACTGCGAGGCGATTGGCAACCCTATCCCYGAGATCCAGTGGTGGTTTGAGGGGAACGATCCAAATGAGACCTATGCTCAGCTTTGGGATGGCGCGCGGCAGGACCGCGTCCAAATCAACGCCACCTACAACCTGCACTCTACCAGTACCGTCTCCATCGCGAACCTCTCGCTCGACGACTCGGGCATGTACGAGTGCCGGGCCAGCAACGACCCCGACCGCAACCACTTGTCGAAGAGCCCCAAAGTCAAGTGGATCCGTTCCCAGGCTAACGTTTTTGTCATCGAACGTGAGTGGCCACGCCGAGGCCTTGGCACTTGCTCGGACACTGATGTCTTGAGTCTCCTGCCGTGCTCACCCCTGCACCCGTGTCCCGTGACTTCCCGACAGCCCCCCTCACCCTCCCGCCCCGGCTGTAGAATCGAGGCTCCTTCCCTCCTGTGGTCCCCTCACCGCCCGTGATCGCTCCGGAGCGGCCGCGCTCCGAAGGGGCTGTGACCTGCGGCGCTCCCGGCGCCTCCCCGGAGCGCTCATGGCTTCAGTCCCCCCGTGTCCCGGTGCCCTTCGGCAGAATTAAGGCTCTTGATTCTGCTGGTAGACTCTGCCCTAACCACCACTGACCAAGCCGCCCTGCAGCTCGCTACGACTTCTGCTCCTGTCAACGTCCTGCTTTGAGCCCGCTGTCCTGCTGCTGGCGCAAGCTGGGGGGAGCCAGGTCTGCTTTGGGTTTCTTGGGAAGCAACCATTTTTGAATGGCCGTGTCCGTGTGACACTGAGTGTCATCTAGTCGCCTGGACCCTAGGAGTGACCAAACTCCCTCTACTTAGAGCTGAAAGTTGAACTCTTGAGCCAAGATGCTGTTATTTTCACCCAAAAAAGGGAAACCTGAACTAGTGAGGGAGTTTAACAGCTTACCGAGATCCTGTCATGAACCCTGATGTGAAAGGGAGCAAAATGGCTAACATTCTCCTCGGCTTAAATGTGCTAGGAAATGCAAAGCTCCTGTGGAATTTTCCTCCAGTGGAATTTGGATAGGAGGAGAAACAAAATATCTCTTAGCCCTGTGCAAAAATCGTKCCTTCCAAGAAAAGGGGAATGGGTGTGAGGGTAGGAAACATCAAGTGTCACTATAGGGCTGTATAATGGCTCTACTAAAGGCAGCTGTTTTATTGAATGTCCCTCCTATAAGCAGAAATGTCTGAGTAATCGTATGTTGCATAATTTACTGCTTCTTGGCACGCAGAGGCCCAGGACCTTTAGGAACCGTGGTTCCACACGTTCTCCCTGGAGTAAACATAGCTGCAAATCCCGGGTGGCATCAGGTGCTGGGTTCGCTCCGCACAAGGAGTCTCCATCGCTGTCCTCAGCCGTGCGCCCCGTCGCGCACTGAATCCGCCCAGATCCTGGCTTTGGTGGGTGCCAGGGTGGCTCGTGAGGGCAGAGCCCTGTTGTGCCGCTCTGCCGGAGCGCGGGCTGAGCCCCTCGGAGCGCGCAGGAGGCTCCGCGCTGGGCAGGGTGGGCGGCAGAGCGCCCGGCCACGGCGCTAGCGTCAGGGTCCTCTTGTAGACATCTGGCCTCCAACCCTGCCCTGCTCTCATCAGCCCTGGTAGGAAACTGGTAGAGAAGGTAAGTGCAAAGCAGTGATGGGGACGAGGAGCTCTGTTTTCATATTGTTTTCTCAAGTTCTTGAGCAGGTGTGTGACCGCTCGAGTCCTCTGTGTTAACTGTCCTTGAATTTACACCTGCAGGTCCAAACATCATAGCTCTCGTGAGCGTCACTCCTGGCAAACTGATCCTCTCGTGTAACATGACTGCGCCCCATGGTCCCGTTGAGGGCCACGAGTGGATGAGAGGTGACAAGACCCTTCAAACAGACACRGAATCGAGTGCTTTCACCAGCTACACGTAAGTGTTGGCAAGGCCAGGGAAGAATCTCTCTGCAGAGACAGGTATTTTACCAGAAACAGCTAATATTATCAGTTCTTCCTCAACTGAAGCCCTGTCAAATGCAGCCTTGCAGGAAATGCAAACCGCAACCTCAGCTCATGAGTTGGGCAGAATAAAGGGTTGTTTAGGCCCGGCCTTTCCCCTTTGTGAGGAGGAGGCAAAAGGAGGAAGGCAAAGTAAATACCTGCCACGTGTCCTCAGTRAAGGCAGTGCTGCAGTTCGGTGCTCTCCTGCTGGTGCCCTTCATGCGAGGCCAGTTGCCCTGGGCTGGGGTGGCCAGGGCTGCCTGCTTGGGACGGCACGAGCCTGCTTGTCATCCTGCAGCTGACTTGTATATACATACACAAAATCTGTGTATACTCAAGGTATGTACACGTCCAATGTGGAGTCTCTCCCTATAGAACCAGCTGCATAGTTGCCTGCAAGTTAGAGGCAGAACTGTTGCTTCTGCCTTGCACAGACCATTTGCCGGCTGTGGCTGGGCAGGGGCTGGAATCGCAGCCTTATTGTGGCAGTGCAGTGAGCTTTCCAGTCCGATTAGAGTCAGGCCTGGCTGGCACTGGCCCAGCCGCTGGAGAGGCATCATGTCCTTTTGTRTGGCTCTGCCGACGTGCCTCTCTCCCCATAGCAACAGGGAGCTGAACAAGGATTAAAGTATTTATAACCCAGCCTCCCTCGTGTGACCTCAATTCCTTAGCCGGGTGGTTTTGGGGAGCGGGAAGCTCTGCACAGCGGAGCTAACAAACAGCCTCTTGTCCCGGCGCAGGCAAAGAACTCCAACTTTGTGCCCACCCCTGCTTGTGCGGATACTGCTAAGCTGCAGGAGGAGATGCTTGTTGCAATGCACCGTAATCCACTAAATCCTATTGCAGCAAACTTACAAAAATGAAAAGGGAGAGAGGTCTTGCTGTGCTTGGATCAATATAGAAATCCAGCCTGTTTTTTTGTCATTATATTGCCGTGTGTTCCAGTGGACTTTTCTGTAGGATGAATAGCTCCTATCTYTGCTTGCCTCGCACTGAGTGTGTTATCCTAAGCTCTTTGCCTGTCCGCTTTAAAGCTGAGCTGCAGGCTAATAATTGGAGAGGGGAGTGGCTGTGTCCTGCGTTGTGCAAGCTGCAGTGCTCTGCTGCRCTCGTGGAGACGGAGGTTTGCGCTGCAAGGTGGATTGTAGCAGGCCTGTGTAAAAGAGGGAAGGGCCTGGAATTACAGCTCCGTGGAGCGCTGCTGCTGGGAGAGCAATGTTGTCCTCCGGCTCTTGGATTTCTGCCTCTGTTTTAGCTAATGGCCAGGTCTTGGGTAGGGAGTAAAACACTGCTGGTCTCCTGGCTTCAAAGCTAAAGATCAAGTGGTCTTAAAAAAATCACCGAATTAACAGACGAGTGTCAGACTGAAGTGTGTAGGAAACCCTCTTCTGTTCCGCTTAATGCGTAGAGAGAGGCAAAGGAGAGTTGTAGCTAAATGGTGCATAAGTGTTGGAGCTGGAGGGTGTGAAATTCCTGTAGACGAGATTGCTTTTTAAATGTTTATGCATGCCTGCTGCTTTCCCTGGTCTGGAATTCAGAGTCTGCTTTGTGGATGCCAGTTATGGCACATGGCTTATGTGCCAACCTCCTTCTCTTGGTAGAATTGAGGGGAAGATGGAAGAGCACTCTGGAGTGTACGACTGYGTCTACAAAACAAACCCAGTAGTGAAAGGACAAGTGAATATATCAGGTAACCTCCTGTGTTCTCTTCTGGGACTGGTGGTGGGGAGAGGGGAGGTTCTAGTTGCCTACATTGGAAAAATGTAGGACATGTAGGAGGTCTCCATTTTGATCGTGTGCCMAGTTGGCTGTAAGATTAAGTCTTAGACCTCGCAGTAAATCAGTGTTCTGCAGTGGGCACGTGCCCACRAGACGTGGGAGAGGGATAATACCTGCCAGTCAAATCCGTTTGACCCTTTCAAAGCAGCTTGGCGTGCTTGCTCTCCAAGTGCTGAAGTTTGGACTAGTGAGAGGGATGAGATCTATAATGTAGGCTGAGAAATGAGATCTATAATGTAGCCCGYGGGCAGTGTGAATGGTGTCTGATCTATACTGAAGTGCCTTTTCCCCCTTGCCACAGTGGCACCCCAGGTGGTGGCATACAAGAAGTCTGAGCACGGCAATGAGGGGGACACYGGAGTGCTCACCTGCAAAAGTCCCTCTTTTCCCCCTGTCAGCACATGGACTTGGTACAAAAATGAGCGAGAGGTAAGTGCTGGAGCAGCATCTCCCTTCCCTTCTGCCTCTCCTGGCAAAGAGCTGCAGGACGCGTTCCCTCGGAACAAGCCATTTCAGAGCGGCCTCCTCAAGGCCTTGGCACTGAGGAGCTCTGGTAGAACCATCCGTGTGGTTGCCCTGAGAGCTGTGGTTTGGGTTCTCCCTCCTGCCAGCCCATCATCAACGCGTCCGGTCGGTACATCATCAAGTCGAGCGGCAACAAGACAGAGCTGCGCATTCTGAAGCTGAGCATCGAGGAGGATACGGGCGACTACCACTGCAACGCCAGCAACGCCTTCGGCTTCGGCGGCGCCGCCGTGAACCTGCGCGTGCGCAGCCGCCTCGCCGCGCTCTGGCCCTTCCTGGGCATCGTCGCAGAAGTCCTCGTTCTTGTCACCATCATCTTCATCTATGAGAAGAGGAGGAAGCCGGATGAGGTTCTCGATGGTAAGAAGCACTTGATTAAATCTTTGCAGGTACATCAAGCAGCTTGTAAAACGGACACAAAATGTTCTCTTTGAGTTCCTYTTGTAGGATGGGCCTAAAGACTTGAATGAGAGCTGTTTATCAGAGTGCTTCCAATATAATCATGCAGGGTTTTAGCAAGCTAAAGAAAATGTTTGTCCTGTTTACTTCTGTGGGGCTCTGTCTTATCAACGTTTATAAAGACCTGCTGGGAGGGTGTGAAGCAGGCAGAGCTGTTCTCAGGGCTGCCTGGAGGCAGGATGAGAGGCCATGGACACAAACCCAAACAGGAAATTCTGAACATGAGAAAACAGTTTTTCTCTGCAAGATTGGTAAGACTTTCAGAGCAGGTTTTCCAGAAACAGTGGGATCTCCCTCCTGGGAGAGCCAGGGCCCATGTTGCTTCCTCGTGAGCCCAGGTTTACYTTAACTTCAATTCACCTTTGAGTTGTTTTGGCATTCAAAGGCTCCCCGGGTCTCTTTCAAAGTCCAGTGCTTCTTTCCTCTGTTGTGGGAGCACTGGCTCCTCCCTTCCCCTATCGCCTGGGATCTCCATTGTGTTGGCCCAGCAGCTGCTCCCTTATCTGATCCGGTTAACAATGACCGGTCTCCTTCCTGCTCCCAGTCCCTTTAGCCTTCCCAGGAATGGCACAGCAGGTGAGCTGGGGGTGGGGGGCAAGGCAAGCAGAGAGGCTGAAAACAAGGTGCTAAACACCCCTCCTGACTGCATGGCTTGGGAAATGCTGCTAAATGCAGCCCCAGAGCAGTGCTTTGTCTTCTGGCACCCTTGCTGGGTGGAGGTCTTATAGCTCAAGAGTGTTTTATCTGACAAATAAAGTATAGAGCCTGGCTGTTGAGGGGTCTGTTTGGATGCCCGCAGTGCTGATGAGCCCGCAGCTGCAGTGGGAGCTCCGACAGGGCAGGTTATAGTGACATTGCCGAGGCCTCTTGGGTTGCTCTGCGAGCAGACTCCTTGAGCTCATGTTTTCAGATGCCAGTATGTGAGGGTGGGCACTGCACAAGCAACCACACAGCACTTCAGCTCCTTGGTTCTCCTTCCTCCAAAGTCCTTGCAGCTTTGCTGCTCCTGAGGGGAGGTAGCAAGAAGCCAGTGCTGAGGAGCTCAGACCAGAGCTGTTCCTCGTGTATGGCCCTGACCTGGCCACTTGTGCCCSCTGCTTTGGGGTGTCTAGCTGGGTACCGGGGCACTATCCGGGCTGCTGTTACCTTTCTATTCTTCCCTTCTCTGCTGCTGCCCACTATCTCAATGGTAAGTAGATGGTCTGGGCCRTGTCCTGCGTTGCTCCGCTGTGCAGCTGCACGCAGCTTTGGTGCCCAAGACGGTGCCAGGACCTAGAGCTGCACCTCCCTGCTGGGCCTGGGCTGTGGGAGGTGGCAGGCTGCAGGAGCTGGTGAAAGCTGCGCTGCCTGGCAGGGCTGCTCTTCCCTGCGCTTCAGTGCAGCGAGGATGCGCTCTGCGGTGTGTCTTTGGTGAAATCTGTGGAGCAGACAGGCTTAGTTCTGCTGATGGTTAAGCCTCGTTCTGGAAGCATCCTCTTTGGATTCCTCTTGGCTTGCTGCTAGCCTCTGCGTTTGGGTCTGGGGGCATTGGAATTCGTGGGGCTGAGAGCAGGGGGAGCTGCAGCGGCTGCTGTGCTGTCCCGCTGCATGCATGTGAGGCTCTGCTCTGGTTTTAAGCCCTACTGGGAGGACTGGCTAGTCTGCATCAGACTCAGCTTCTGGGGGTGGCTTCACTTGTGCCTCAGGATTAATGAAGTGCAAGACCTGATCTCTGCTGAGCAGGGCTAAAGACTTGGTTATCCTGCGAGCCAGACTTGCTCTGTGCCAACAGAAGCAGCTGCATAACAGGAGCTTATGTCTAAGCTCATGTCCTGCCTAAGCTTAGACGTGAAGCAGCTTACTAATCATGAAGGGGATGGTGGTGCTTGGCTAAGTAGCCCCCTGCTAGCCAAGTCCCAGCAAAAGGGAAGCTCTGTGGGGTGGGAGCCCTGCAGGTTCCAGTCCTGCCTGGGCACTAATATCCAGGAATTCCTGTGGGATTGGAATCCCAGGCCCTGGGGACAGAGCRGTAGGTTACTTTGCACATGTTCCTGATGCTATTTTTTCTCTTCTTTCTGGACTGTGCTGATCATGAAGACGATGATGGAGGTTCTGCACCACTGTAAGTACCTCAYTTTCCTATTAAGCCAGACTCATTCCTGTAGATCGTATTCCCCAGGGAATCTGTTCAAAGGCAGAAGCTGGCCAGTGCTGAGAACTCACCACCTTTCTGGGAGACTTTTTCCCTTCTGCATAGTACGTTTAGTGTGGCCTGTGTATCCATGACAAAAATGGTGTTGGTAGAAAAAGGTCTCAAGCTCTGTTTTTTTTTCCTGACAACTCTTTTATTTTGGCACATCTTGAGCGTTTACTGGGACCTGTAATCCAGTAGCGGTCAGGGTGGGCTTTTGTGCTGTTTCTTTCCCCCACTGACCCTTTTTTCTTTCCAGGAAAAGCAACGCCACAAACCACAAGGACAAGAACGTCCGCCAGAGAAACGCGAACTAGGAGCAGGGCCAGGTGAGTGCRGCTCTGCTGGAGGTCTCCTCGCAGCACGTGGCCCTGCTGCACGGACGGACTCTAACCCACTTCTTCTCTTGTACCAGGTGCTGTGTAGCTGAAGAAGTCTGGACATTTTTTCTTCCTTTTTTTTGGTAAAATAGTACCATGAATATCCTAGTGCATCCTTGCAATTCAGTTATTTCACTTTCTAAAGAAACTTCAGAGTTGTAGAATCTAAAATACACTCTTTTTTWAAAAAATAAAAGGTGTGGGAGGGTTTTTCTATCTGTCAGTGTAAATCCCCTGATGCTGGTAGTCTTGGCTGTCTCTGCCCTTGGTTTCTTCATGTTGGATAGAGGGTAAGTGGGAGCAAAACCTGCTTCTGTCCCTTGCGCGAGGGAGGGACAGGGTGTCTTGGAGCACCCTCCTTGCCCACCTCGGCTTTTGGGAGGCCGTGCAAGGAGCTGCCCTGTGCTGTGCTGAGGGGGTGCCAGGACCCCTGTTCCCTGTGGATGTCCTGGTTCCCGTGGGTCAGGAAGAACCTGCTCTGGTTACYGTTGGGACGTGACCTGACCTGACGGAAGGGAGGGGGGTTCCCAGTGTTCCCCAGGGTCACCAGGAGCAAGGCGACCTCTTCCCGCAGTCCTGGAGCTGCTCTGCAAGGACACCGGGAACGTCTGTCCATTGGATCTTTGGGAAGAGCAGCAGAACTTGGGGTCGAATATCGGCGCCCTGCATCCTCATCAGCTCCCTGCGGAGCTGCTCTGCTTACCCTCCTAAAGAAGCAACAAGGAGGCAGCGTCAGAGCTGGAGCCTGATTAAACGTGATTAGTGTTAACTTATTTCTTGGGCTTTGTTAGTATCTCTTCTAAAGTTGCTGCAGTGTGGGGCTAGGGGATAGTGCTGGAGTGAACATAGGGGCTGTGGGGGGCTTTGGGGGGCAGCTTTTAACAGCATGTGTTCTTGTGCTTAAGCCAGCTTGGTGTYGTGTGACATAGGAGCCTGAGAGCAGAGCCTGTGTTAGCCTTGCTGTGGGGTAGCAGTGAACTCCTCCCTCTGTTAACGTGCTTCACCAATAAACATGATTCCTCTCTCTTTTTTTCCACCTCTGTTTGGAGTCCGTTCTCCCCTCCCTGGGGCCTGCTCGGCCTCTCTGCTCGCCTCCTTTCTGGCCATGGACTGGGCGTTTCCAGGGGCTTGGGTGACTCGTCCTGGGCTCCTCCTGCCCCATGGGGGAACCGAGAGGTGCCCAGGCCTTCAGAAGGGGATGAGCCCTGCTCCCTCYTGGGAGCACTGGGCACCCTCTGCTCCTGTCTCCAGCTGCTGTGGGGCTGTCAGTGCTGCCCTCGCTGCCCTGGGGCTGTGGGAGCCGCTCGGGGCTTTGGGTTTCACCCCTGTTACCGGAGCCTTTGCCCTGGACGTTGGGATATCTGCAGCTGACAGACTGAGCRCCAGGCAAGAGCCCGTGGCCAAAACAAGCAGTGCAGCAGGGCCTGGGCAGCGGGAGGGCAGGGAAGCATCGGGAAGCTGGGACAGGAGCGGAAGGTCAATCTCGGCCTCATGCAGCTAAGAGCTGATGCTGGAGCAAGAGCCGGGCCCCAGTGAAGGACGAGCTGGAGCTGCCCCTTGGGGGCAGGTCCCGCTCACACAGCAGGGTGCAGAGCTGCCCTGGTCAGTGCCCCTGTCCTCGGAGCGGGGCAGCTGCAGGAAGGCTGCATGCATGTGCACACATGCACGTACATGTATGCACCCACATGCATGCACACACATGCAGCTGTGTGTGCACCCGGGGCAGCAGCCCAGCCCTGCGCTTCCGTGGCCTTGCAGGAGCGCAGCCTGGCCCTGCAGCCAAACGCCTTTCCCTGCTCCGCGGGGCCCGGCCGGCCTGGCAGCGGCTCGTGCAGCCCCGGGCGCTGCTCGCGGCCGCCCCGGTGCCGCCGCGCCGCGTGGCTCTGCCGCACGTAGGGGCGTTATGCAAGCCCTTCACAGCCGGMCTTGCGGGGCCCGTCCTGCTGCAATATCAATGCAGGGCTTAATTTCTCTGATGAGGATTACGGGCCCTGCCTGACCCTGCTCCGGCTGCAGCACAAAGCCCCATTTGTGTCCTTTGTTTGTCTGGGCTGGCTCCAGGGGGGAAAACAGGGTGGAAAGCAGACCTGGAGCTGTGGCGGGGATGGAGCAGCCTGTGCTGCTCCCTGCCGGGCCGGCAGCCCCGTGCGCGCAGCCCTGCGCCGCGCAGCC